CACGAGGCTGCCTTCAAAACTCACAAACTGTCAGCTCCTTCACATTCTCAGACCAAGCAAATTACAGACGCAGCCCACTTATCTCTGGGGTGGGAAGAGCCTCCACTCCATGCAATCAACCACAGGGAGGGAAGGAGGATTATTGCCCCTCATCATCCCTTCCTTCTCTTCAAACTTTGGCCAACAGTGGGGGATTAGCTTGAGAGGTAGAGCCTTGTTTACAGACTTTGGTCGGGTTTCCCTGTGCGTTCTAGTGTGCACTGTGGTACTGCTCAGTTGATCTAATTTTGGAGTTGCATGTGAGCTTGGCGAGAGACTGACCTCACGAACCAAGCATTGAGCTGAGAGCCACATCGGTGCAGACAGAGGTCCAGTCCTCCTGCCGCAGGATCTGGTCTCCACTGTGCGTGAAACTACAGCATTACAGATCACAGGCTAAGCATGTCTGTAGCTGCATGCCCAAGCGCAGATTGACAAGGCTCACTGATCCACACAGCACATTCTCTGCACAGGGAGGGAACAACAACTGTCAAAGAGATGAACAGAAGAGTCTTGATAATAAACAGCATCTCCACGATCCTGGCCTTGTCCTCTCCCACTACCTGTAACTCTGTGTTTAGTATTTGTTTATGAAAGAACACACTAGCGTTTTTTTTTTTAATCTTTATTTGTGAAGGAGGAAGGAACAGATGAGGGGTTACAGATGAGGGGTGGAGATTGTGTAACTCACTTTGTCATACCTGGAAATTTATTTTAAGCTCAGTGCATTTGCTCAGGGAAATTGAGTTCACAAACTGTTTCTGTGAGATAGATTCTGTCCCCATCTTTCAATGGAAGTGATCTGAAACGTTGAGAAGTTTCACTATAACATTTCAAAATAGAGACAATTAGTAGAAACAGTAGTTAATGCATGTCTATTATTAATAAGAATGTATAGGTGCAATTAGACACAGAAGTGTGTGTGTGTGTTTGTGTGTGTGTGATTCTGGAGACAGAACCCAGGAATTTATGCATTTGAAGCAAACCCCTTGTACCACTGAGCTCCATCCCTAGCCTAGACACAGAACACACACTCTGTGTGTGTGTCTCTCTCTATGTGTGTGTGTGTGTGTGTGTGTGTGTGTGTGTGTGTGTGTGTGTGATTCTGGAGACCGAACCCAGGAATTTATGCATTTGAAGCAAACCCCTTGTACCACTGAGCTCCATCCCTAGCCTAGACACAGAACACACACTCTGTGTGTGTGTGTCTCTCTATGTGTGTCTGTGTGTGTGTGTGTGTGTGTGTGTGTGTGTGTGTGTGTGTGTGTGTGATTCTGGAGACCGAACCCAGGAATTTATGCATTTATGAATTAAGCAAACCCTTGTACCACTGAGCTCCATCCCTAGCCTAGACACAGAACACACACTCTGTGTGTGTGTGTGTGTGTGTGTGTGTGTGTGTGTTCATATAGAGGCCAGAGTTCAGCACTAGTGTCTTTCTCAATCTCTTTTCTTCCTTGATTGTTTGAGCCTGGGTTCTCATTGAACTTGGCGTGCACCGGTATTCAGCTCCGTTAGCAGATAAGCCCCTTGCCTCTGCCTCCCAAGGGCTTGAAGGACAGGTGCATGCCGCTGCTCTTTTCCCCACCAGTACTGGAGATCAAAGGCAGATCCTCAGCTTGTTCAGCAAACTCTTTATGTACTGCCCCAACACAGAGCTCTTGCGTGGGAGGCCATGCTGGAAACTTTGTCTTATGAGTCACGCCTGCCCTTCCTTAGAACTGACACACAAACATTATCTGTGGCGCTCTTTGAAGCCCTCAGAAGTGGAATAACCCAGAAGCCCCAACCTTTTCCAGCCTAGAACTCATTCTTATCCTTTTTGTTTTGCCGTTGTCCTCCCAAACCTCTCTTCTGCCCACTGCAGTAAGCCTGGCTTTTACTGAGCTGTTTCCTAAGAATCCTTGAGAATTCCCAGGTAGGACTCCGTCACTCCACAGATACATCTCTGCCTGACCCCTCCCCCTCGTGATGACTGCAGCACTGAGGGCTGCTATGCACTTCTTAGGGGAGGATTTCACCACTGTCAGCCACTAAAACTTGGTCTTGTAACACTTCGCCATTGCAGAGGTCCCAGACCCCTCATCAGATTCCGACCCTGGCTCCTGAGACCACGCTCCAGTCTTTAACAGGCCATCTCTGGTTGTTTAGCAAGTAACACAGGGATCTGGTCTGATATTTCATGAACTTACACCAGATGTGGTAGTTCTTAGAGTTCACACCCCCAGGCCTTCCACAGGAGTCCTCGGGAGACAGCTCTCACTTTGGCCTCCAAACTGCTAACACGGTACCGGTTGCTTCATGTCCCCACGGAGAGTTCTCTCAGACACATGGTCCTTCCTCAGGGTAGAGGCCATATTGTAGTCAAAATAGAAGAAGCTCTCTTCTGGTCCTATTTCCCACCCAAGGATGAACTTTTTCAGTACTATAACATCCTGGGATAAAAACATAAGCTCAGAAGAGCAGGGACTTTCTGTTTTCACTAACACATTCTGAATCAAGGAGACATGCTCGGCACTGTAGGACTTTGATAACTACTGAGGCATTGAATGAAATGGTTTGTTTGTTCTTTAAAATAATAACAATAATTAATAATAGTAATAATAATAACCCAATGGCTGGGGAGATGGCCCAGTTAGTAAGATGCTTGCGGGACATTTACATTTACTTGCAGGACTTGAGTTTGGATACTTGACACCCACATAAAAGCTGATCATGGAGGTCGGGTCTATAACCCCCGGCATGGAGGGTTAGGGAGACAGGCAGATCTGTGGCTAGCCATTGTAGCCCAAATCAGTGCTGAAGGTTCCTTGAGAGACCCATCTCAAGAATTAAGGCAGAGAAATGGAGGAATATACCCAAGCTCAACCTCTGGTTTTCACACACATACACATATGGGTGAGCACACAGACAGACAGATAGACCAACACACACATCAGCTGAGACTTGATAAATATTATATTTCCAGAGCGCAATTATTTATTTTAGAATCATAGCAGAAATATCTAGTCCAAGAAAAAGCCAGTCTACTATGCTTTGGAGCTGTGGTTCTCAACCTTCCTAACGCTGCGATCCTTTAATACAGCTCTTCATGTTGTGGTGACCCCCAACCATAAAATTATTCTGTTGCTGCTTCATAACTGCAATTTTGCTGCTGTTATGAATTGTAATGTAAATTTTTTTTGAGATACAGGTTTTCTGAGAGGGTCTCAGTTGAGAACCACTGTTTTATAGTCTCTCCTCCCTCCAAATCTTTTCCACAAAAGTTGCTGCCTTCCCAACTACTGCTTTGTGAGTGCTCGCATAAGCTGACACCAAATCACCATGTAATAATAATTTCCAGACAGACTGAAATTTAACTCCATGTTTGGAGAAGAACCATCCTCCCGGAAGAGATAATCTATAGAAATGAAAGCAGATCTTCACTGTTTCATAATTCATCCTCAAAACCATAATTCCAAATTGGGCTTAGGTTAGTTTTCCATAAAATAATAATGGGGTGACGATTTCTCAAAACAGATGTGACTTCCTCCTTCACAGGCATCAAATGTGTCCAGAAAGACCATGGCAGCCGACGCCAGCAAGCATGGACTCTGGGACACTAGGAGATAAACCAGACCTCGGTGTGTGGAAAATCCTCTCGGATCTGACTCAGCAGAGATGTTCTCCCTCTTGTCCCTCAGGGACTCTGCCACATATGCGGCCTTGTGGATGTCCAGGTCATGTGATAGACCCTGGCTGTTTTACCAGCTTTCAGCCAGGCAATTATCCTTCTTCCTCCCTATCCCCAGCTGTCCTCTGTGCCCCTCTCAGATCTCTGGGCACCTCCGTGAAGACTATCAGCTCATTGGATCCAAACACACACTGTCTTTGAGCTGCTTCTAGACATCTCCTGAGCAATGAAGGTATGTTAAGGCAGTTGCTCTGAAAAGCATGGGACTCCTGTGAACGGGAACTTGGACTTGAGGACTCTGATAAATTCTCGCAGGACTAACCAAAACCTAGCTGCTCACCAACTGTCCTGGTTAGCTCTAACTTGACACAACCTGAAAGTTCCTACGTCACACTGACCTGTGGGGATGTCTACAGGGGGGGGATTGTCTGGATTTTTAACTGATGTAAGAGGTTTCACCCCACTGTGGATGGTACCATTCCCTGTGAGGGTGATCCTGAACTGTGTAAAGGAACTAGGTGAGCATAAGCCTGCCGGGCAGCAAGCAGCATCCTCCATGGTTCCTACTGTGCTTCTTTGGGTGTGAAGTGAGTTCTCTGGTAGAGACTATACTGTGTAAAATGGCAAGTGGGCCTGCCTTCAGGTTCCTGCCTTGACTCCTCTCCATGACACACTGGAGCGGTTGTGGGAATCGTTCCGCAGGAAGCACTCTGACACTCATGAGAGCGGGACAGAGGGGAGGTAGTCACTAGAGTCACAAAGCAAGGACAGCTCCTGAAGGGCCCTGCTCCCAGGCCGGGTGGGCAAGCAAACAAGATTTCACAGACGCCTTCACGTCAGTCCGTAGGTTGTTAAGGGCAATGACCCTTTGTGTCTGCTGTTTCTCCAGGTCACTCCGTTTCAGATGAAGTCATGCCTGGCAAACAGGCCGCACAAGCGGTGCTTTAAGCAAATCACTAAATCAACCGATAAATCAATGTCTAATAATTGGTCTTTTCTACATTATTCTTCTTCACTACTTTACTCAGAATTATAAGCCAGATCAATGCTTTCCTCTCCTGTGCTGCCTTTGGTCAAGACGCTTTTATCCCAACAACAGAAACAACACTAAAACACCAGCTTTCCCTGTTTGCCTCTTCCTCGCCCAGCGTTGTGACAAAACTTACCCCGGGGAAACACAACACACACATCTCCTCACCCCAGATAGGGATCCCACAACAGACCTAAGTACAGATACCACCAAAGTCCAACTTGGTGAACCAATGAGCTTTACTGGGGTTACCTACAGGGATATGGGTGAGAGGTTACGTACAGGAGCAGAAATGATTTGAAGGCAGCTGCATCATCAGGGCCCACCCCAGCATGGGTGACAGCTCACAAAGCTGGGAAATCTGGGACTCACCGCACAGCCTGCAGGCAGCTCAGCAGGTTGGAGAGAGTCCCTTCCAGGTGCCTCAGTTGGCCTAACCCTCTTCCAGGCAGATCAGCTGGTTTCTGCTTCTTGCAGGCAGCTGGTCTGGTCCCAGGGTCTTCTTTTCAACTTCGATTATGTGAGAAATGTTGTGGGACATTTGTGCACTGTGTGAAGATATAATGATGTGACAGGTTTAATAAAAAGCTGAACAACCAATAGCTAGGCCAGAGGTACAGGTGGGACTTCCCGGCAGAGAGAGAGGGGGTGGGAGATGAATCTAGGCACAAGAGAGACGTGGAATGAGTCAGACACACAGAATGGGACAGAGGTCAAAGCCATGTGAAAGAACGTAGATTAATAAAAATATGGGTTATTTAAGTTATAAGAGTTGAAAACAAGCCTAAGCTAAAGGCCACGCTTTCATAATTAATTAGTCTCTGTGTCATTATTTGGGAGCTGGCTGGCGAGATAGAGAAGACTCATTCCAGAGAGGGACCCTCAGGTTGTATTACTTACTCTGCCAGGGAGCGGCCTAGTGAATCTGGTCAGTTTCGGGGATTTCCTGAAGCTATTTTGAGTTGTGAGGAGCTTCGCCATTTCAATCACTTCAGTTCCAGAGGAAACTGTTAAACAAAACAGGTGGTCTGACCTGAGTTTACAGTTGGATCACACCCTTGGCCTCTAGAATCTTTAAGTTTTTAAGATTTTTTTCTTTGTGTGTGTGTGTGTGTGTGTGTGTGTGTGTGTGTGTGTGTGTCAGTGTGTGTGTGTGTCAGTGTGTGGGTATGTGTGTGTGTCTGTGTGTGTGTGTCAGTGTGTGTGTGTGTGTGTGTGTGTGTGTGTGTCAGTGTGTGTGTGTGTGTGTGTCAGTGTGTGGGTATGTGTGTGTGTCTGTGTGTCTGTGTCTGTGTGTGTGTCAGTGTGTGTGTGTGTGTGTGTGTGTCTGTGTGTGGGTATGTGTGTGTGTCTGTGTGTGTGTGTGTCAGTGTGTGGGTATGTGTGTGTGTCTGTGTGTGTGTGTCAGTGTGTGTGTGTGTGTGTGTGTGTCTGTGTGTGTGTGTGTGTGTCAGTGTGTGTGTGTGTGTGTGTGTGTGTGTGTGTGTCAGTGTGTGGGTATGTGTGTGTGTCTGTGTGTCTGTGTCTGTGTGTGTGTCAGTGTGTGTGTGTGTGTGTGTGTCTGTGTGTCTGTGTGTGTGTGTCAGTGTGTGGGTATGTGTGTGTGTCTGTGTGTGTGTGTGTCAGTGTGTGGGTATGTGTGTGTGTCTGTGTGTCAGTGTGTGTGTGTGTCTGTGTGTCAGTGTGTGTGTGTCTGTGTGTGTGTATGTGTGTCTGTGTCTGTGTGTCAGTGTGTGGGTGTGTGCACATTTGCGGTTACCCACAGGGGCAGAGAAAGGGCATCGGATCCCCTGAGCTGCAGTTACAAAGCGGTTTGAACCACTTGACATGGACACTGGACTCGACACTCTGATCCTGTGAATGACAACAAGCCCTCTCCACCACTGAACCATCTCTCCAGCCCCTGTCTCTGTCTGCTACCACGGTTTCACTTTCCTGTCCTCACAAGGATTGCCTTAATAAGTCTCTTGTTTCTCTCCCGCTGGCCAGGACAAAGCCCAAATCTCAGGGAAACCAAGTTACCACCAGTGATAGAACAGACTGAGGAAAAAGGTGATAAGACATAAGTTTGGGAGTGGCTCATACACCCATCTGGCAGATAAGGCTTCATCTGGTATAAACATGAACAGTGTCTGTATGGTACAAGGTAGAAGACACTCAATCACCAACAACTTCCCTCGTTGTGACCTAGGGAAATATCTTAGTAAGATAAATGCTGTGGAAACACGGTGACTTGAGGCAGGTATTTGAGACATGTGGGAGTAGATAGTGTCTGCAAATAAACATACTTAAGAACACAGAAAAAAAAAGCAGAATTAACATGGATGTCCAGATACCATCTTGCTCCCCATTAGTCTGGAGGTGGTGATAATTAGCGTTTATCGACAGCATGATAGGATTTAAAATTATCTCAGAGATGGGCCTCTGGGATGTCTGTGAGGGATTGTCTTAACCAGACTGATTGAGAAAACTCTTCTTAACAATAGTGGAACCCAAAATCCACCCCATCTGTGACCTGCTGGAGTACAGGAAGGGACCAGTCCTGCAGACCCAAAGCTTCAGGATCTCCACAACACAGGGCAACAGCAGGATAACCAAGAGGAAAGTCCCAGTGAGGGCCCATAGTGTAGCAGAAGCCAGAGGCCTCAAACCGGACCGATGACTCTTTGCAATGAACACTTGCAAGGAAAGATATGTGGATAAAAGGTTCACTGCGTGACTCACTGTGTCACACTACAGCTTCCATGACAAGATGGTTTTTTTTTTCCTTCTCTTTTTTTTTCTTTTTTCTCTTAAATTTTATTTTATTCTGAGGGGAGGTTGCAAGGGCAGAGGGTGGATACAAAGGGATGGGGAAATGAATGGAATGGAGATGCATGATGTGAAAGACACAAAGAATAAATAAAAGGGAAAAAAAGAGTGGTGGGACCATTCCCTGTGAGAACACTGGACTACATTAAACGCAGACTGGAAGCCGAGCCCCCATTTGGGGATGCAACATCACGTTGCCTCAAGCTCCTGCTGCCTTGACTTCACCTCCATCATGGTCTTTACCCTTGAACTAGAAGCCAGAATAAGCCTTTCCCCTTTAAGTTGCTTTTTCTTCAGGGTATTTTAATCACAGCAACAGGGAAGGTGGTTAAGATAGGAGTCTAAAGGCCAGGAAGAAAATGAATCAGCTAGCCTTGGCTCACAGTTGGCCTGCTGGATTCAGGGACATAGTCCATGATCCTTCTCCAGATCCTGGTGGGAAGCCTACAGAGTAAGACAGAGTAAGTACACACCTCTGAGACAGTCTTCAGATGCCCAGCAAGATAACAAATCAAAACAGTATCCTATCCCAGGAGCAGGTTGAAAATTTCTGTTACCATTAAAGACCTAACTGATTCAAAAGTGTGATCACGTTTCCTAAAGTCCCAGTGTGGATGCTGCAGAGAGCAGACGGACCCTGGAGGAGAGCTGTGGGCAGTCTTGGACTTGATCAAGTAGTATATGAATACTCATAGATATACCAGATGTGACATTGTGCTAAGCACAAAGGTGCTTCTGCTACAAGGTATGCAGTCACTGACTTGGACAATGTACCTTCTTCTATTCTGACTACATATTTGTTTTCATGTGAGATAGACAATAATACTGACTTTTGGTTCTGTGCCAATGCTGAGGCATCGCTTTGATATCCCGTCGTTATATTCTTACAGAATCTGAATCACCTGCTCATCCCTCAGAAAGCCACACTGGCTCATCACATCGATGACGTCACAATGACTGGACAAGACAGGAAGAGGTGGAGAGTATCTTGGATGCAAGTCACACATACACACTCCAAGGGTAGAACCTCTCATTTCTGGAAGTGTTTTAAGGAAGGTATTGGGATATTTAAAAGGCAGGTCCCTAAGTCTTGCACACTCAGCTACTAAGAGAGATGCAAGGCTTTTTATAGATCTTGTTTTGTCCTGGAGGCTACTTATTTAACACCTAGGAATATTGATTTTGTCCCATGAAGGGTTTCAGCTTCTGGGGGTTGGGTGGGGAGATTCAGAGCAGAAAAAAAAAAAAAACTGATTCAAGCCAAACCACGCTGCTTGCACCATTTGATCTTGCAACGTTGGAGGTGACAGTAGTGGGGAAAACCACAAGATAATATCAATGACAAGACCCAGTGAGAGAATCACAATGTGGAATCCTGTAATGCAGAACCAAAGCTATGAAAATACCCTGTGACACCTACCTCGGGAGCAATGTGTGCCCCTTTCCCAGGAAAGGAAGGAACTAGTCAGGCTTGGTTAAGCATGACTTGGCTTAATATACCAGATCATGCTGAAAAGAGATGGACCTCCTTTTCACCACATTTGGGAAGTCCTGAAAGACAGTGTACCCAGGGCAGAGCTATAAAACGGTATACTTGGCATCTACACTGAGTGGAACGAGAAGTGGCCCAAGATGAGGATATATACAAACTCCTAGGTAGTAGCCAGGAGCCTGGCCCTCTCACTGAGTGTCTGGAAAGAAAAAAAGATTAGAAAAACAATGGAGTACAGATGTATAGTAAGTGGCACAAAGTCTCAAAATATTTTTTATAGCTTAATGCCCAGCAAATAGCATCTACCATGATTAGGTGCTTAGCAGCCAGGGAGGCAAAACGACTCGGCTAGCTGATATTAATCATCAGTAGCCACCTCAGCTGGTTGATGTCAGTCACTTGAGAACTGTCACAATGGATTATATTAATGAAGAAGCAACAGTGGCTGACCGAGAGGCGTTACGCAGGACCAGCAACACGGACTGCCATGTGTCGAGGCTGCTGATAACAACCACTGTTTCCAAATACCTAGCCTTTCAGTGGGAGAGAGCAGGACTGAGTTCCCAATAAAGCACCTGGATCCTGTTCTCTCCTTGTTTCCTGGGACGGGTCGGTCACACTTGTGGGAGGTGGTAGGGAATCTGAGGGAATCCCACAGGAAAGACTCCAGTCTTACGGCTCCTCTCCTGGCTGTCTCCTGTTACTAGACAAATCCTGAACAATTCAGCATTCTGATAGGACAATAAAATCAACAAATTTTCCTTATGAAGGCTTCTCACTTCCAGAAAAAAAATAATATCAAGTGTAAGTATTACTTATTAAAAGGTTAAAAAAAATTGCCGGGCGGTGGTGGTGCACGCCTTTAATCCCAGCACTCGGGAGGCAGAGCCAGGCGGATCTCTGTGAGTTCGAGGCCAGCCTGGGCTACCAAGTGAATTCCAGGAGAGGCGCAAAGCTACACAGAGAAACCCTGTCTCGAAAAACCAAAAAAAAAAAAAAAAAAAAAAAAAAAAGGTTAAAAAAATTAAAACAGTAGGCCACTAAGAAAAGCTTTAGTACAACAAAAAAAAAATGAAGTCCAAAAGTAAAAAGAATGGCCTACAGGGAACACAATAGAATGGTGTAAGATGGGGGAGCCAGCGGAAATTCACACAGCAACAAGCACTCAAAAGGGATACTCAATATCATCAGGACCAGGTGTGGTAATGTATACGTAAGGTCAACAACACTCAGGAGACCGGGGCAGGCATATGCAGGGGTAAGGCCATCCTGGTAGAAGACCCTATGTAGAATATATTTTTTATTTATTTATGTTAATCTATACATGTTATATGTAACATATATTACATTCCAGTTAAAACATGAGAAGCACATCTGTAATTGCTTCTCGCTTTCAGGCTTGTCCAGCCTTTTGACATAGACAGACGATGTTACCATCTAAAGTTGACACTCAAGGGTTATAAAACCCAATTGCAGAAAACAAATTCCTAACTCTTTAAGTGAATGTATGACTTTGTGTTGAGTTACATTCCTTGTTTATCATCAGCTTACACATTAAAATCATTAGATAACATAGTTATAATACTCAGATCTTCTAAAATTAATTAGCCAACACTTTATGAAATAAGGCCTTAGAAGTATTTCACCCATATTTTATCACACTTAAAGGTCTTACCAGAGGCTGTAGCTAGTCTCTAGGTGTGTCTGCAAGAATTTGAGAAAGGTTTCCTCTTGGGAATGTCATCTTCCAGTCTCCATGAACCCCAAAACCATTCAGCCGATCCCCTTGCCTGTGATCTCAAAAACAGAGGGCAAGAGCTGTGAACGCCAACTCCTACATTTTCTGCCTCAGATTGACTTCTATTTCTTCTTCCATGCATGTTCCCTGTCTAAGACATATTCTCTCCACACTTGTACCATTCTCCCGATCCCTCCTCTTCTCCTTCATATTCTTCAGGGTCCAGCTACATGTGCCTGCACCTTTATTCCTTGCTTCCAAGTAGATTCAAGTTGCCTTGATTAAGAAACAAATGATTCGCCGGGCGGTGGTGGCGCACGCCTTTAATCCCAGCACTCGGGAGGCAGAGCCAGGCGGATCTTTGTGAGTTCAAGGCCAGCCTGGTCTACAGAGCGAGATCCAGGAACGGCGCAAAGCTACACAGAGAAACCCTGTCTCGAAAGAAAAAAAAAAGAAACAAATGATTCAATCTACACTCTAAACTTTAGAGCCTAAAGCTGAGCTTCCTAAAAAAAAAAAATCCTGTGTGCCTTTGTTTCTGCTTCCGTCCCCAGCACCCTGGCCTCTGCATAGCTGTGCCTCTTATTACTATCCCATTCAAAGGTGTTCATCAAGGTCATTGTGGCCTTCCTATTGCTGCCCTTGTAACTCTGACTCAATCATCTTTCTTTGAACTTTCCTCTCCATGGGCTTCTCAGAGATGTCTGCCTCTCCCGCATCTCTTTCTGAGTTTCTTGTCCCAGTTCTTATTTGTTTTTATTTTTAAAAAGAGGAGGAAGCAGGCAGCACAGACTCACTTCTTTCTAAGCTTTAGTGGTGGGGTCTACACTACTGAAATCATGTACACTCAACATATTGGTAGAAAACATTGCTAACTAACATATTGGCAGAAATCTCATTTCACTAAAGAAAAATGGTATTCTAATGAAATTGTTACACATAATGTTTTGGGGAAAGATTTATTTATTTTTATTTTATGTGCATGAATATTTTGTCTACATGTGTATAAGAGCACCCTATGTGTGCAGGCCAGAAGAGGGAAGATGTCGCATGAATCCTAAATGGTCTTATAATAAAAACCCAGAGCCAGAGATCGGGGTGAAAACTGAAAGGTCAGAGAAGCAGAGCAAGCCACAGCCACCACCTCTTCCCTCGCCAACTCCTCAGCCTGAAAGGGCCGAGCTCCCGTCTCCTCCCGCCTTATACTCCTTCTCTGCCCAGCCACATCACCTCCTGTCTCCACCTCCCTAGTGTGTGCCACCACTGCCTGGCTCTGTCTCTCTTTTAGACTGGATTAATCTCATGTATCCCAGTGTGGCCTTGAACTCACAGAAACCCAGACAGATCTCTGCTTCCCCACGACTAGGATTAAAGGTGTGTACCACCACTGTCTGGCCTCTATGTTTAGTCTAGTGGCTTGTTCTGTCCTCTGATCTTCAGGCAAAGTTTATTAGGGTACACAATATATCACCACATTTCCCCTTTTTTTGTCTAAAATAATCAAAGGTTATAACTAATACAAGAAAAACTGTATGCAATAAGTGCAATAACTGTGAGCAATATAAGGGAAACTATGACTAGATAGTTACAGTTTATAACTCCCTCAGAGACCCAAGGAGGAAGTAATATTAACTGAGTAAACAGGAAGTATAAACAAGCGACTTCCAAAAAATGTGAGAAATGACAGAAACAGCTGGCTGTCTGGACAGTCAGCCAAGAGTCCTCTGCAACGTTGGGGCATCCGTCTTCAGCCTGAGGCCTAGCATATCTGACAGACTTATCTGTGAAGCAGGATCTTCTGATGGGCCTTCCTATCTTATCTTGGCAAGGCTCAACAGTCCTTTCTTTTGTGTCCTGCTTGTCCCATTTGGACAGCATACTGTCAGCAGTTGAGGCAAGGGCAACTTCTTGCCCAGTAGCTAATTTCCACCACAAAGCAAGTAAACTCCATAAGGAGTTTCTTCAATGCTCATCATCTTCTCTGAAGTAGATTAGTGCTGCCAGGAGCAGACATGTCTCATTGATATTGACGAAAAGAACCTATGTTAATAAAACATCTTAAATGTCATATCCTGTAGATCTCTGAAGTGTTTGAAGATGACCTGTCTATCTAAAATACATCTCTGTTTGACCTTGAAAACATTCCTAGCCTGACTACAAGTTTGATGGTAATTGGTGACTAACTACTAACCTGCATTTCTTTATTATCCTAAGTAGTTTATAATAATAACTTTAAGTTTGTTCAAGGACTAGCAATTTGCATTACATTGTTAAATGAGCTATATAGGTACATGTTAAATACCTTAAACAAGATTAGGAATGTATGTACATAAAGCTCCAACAAAAATAATGTCAACTTTGTATCAATATATGAAGATCCATATCAATATAAAATATTTAAAACCAGTAGTTGCTTTTGTTTTGTTTTGTTTTGTTTTGTTTTGGAGACAGGGTTTTTCTGTGTAGCTTTGCGCCTTTCCTGGATCTCGCTCTGTAGACCAGGCTGACCTCGAACTCACAAAGATCTGCCTGTCTCTGCCTCCCGAGTGCTGGGATTAAAGGCGTGCGCCACCACCGCCTGGCAGTTGCTTTTTAAAGCAGACTCAATAATCTACCCTTTTGTCCTATCATAGCTGTACCCCCTTTTTTCTTTTCAAAACAAGATCCCTGAATCTGATCTCCTTTGTTCAGTTTTTCTTTTTCTTTTCTTTTTTTTTTTTTTTAACCATTACCAATACAATTTTGTAACCAACCATCCTAAACAATGACAAATATCCATTGCACACTTTTGGGAATGCAGGTGTCATATTCTTAAATTTACTTCCAGCTGTCAGTGAAGGCATCTTTAAGGAATCCTGAAAAGAAAATTTTGGGTTAATTGTCAGGTCCTGGGAGATGTAGCTGTATCATTTGATGTCCAGTCTCTGCATAATGGGAAAGTGCAGGGCTTGTCTCAGGTCCTGGCTAGAGTAGTCTGTGAGACAGGATCATCTCAGTTAGCCATCTGGAAACTGTCCTGAGCAATTTGTAGTCCAAGACGATCTTTGGGTGGTGTTTGTCAGCTTAGTGGCATTATCATAGTCCATGTGGAATCATTGTTGTGGGGCCCCATCATCCTTTTGGAAACTTCAAAGGTCACTGTTAGGCATGGTCATGGTTCACTGCAGAAAACTGATAGAGATTCAAACCCGAAATCATGTACAGGAAGCTAGATGAAGTATTTTTCCTAGAATTAGTTAGTACTCTATACGGCCATTGATACGACAAAAGTTTAATATATATTATTAATAATATATTTAATATATTATTAATAATATATATTAATCTTACACATTTTGATGTAAAATTCATACCTTAAGAAAAGTTTCAAAGAGTCAAAATAAAACCAAAGGATCATGAGATTAGTAGCAATAGAATAGTCCCTTAATTTTGGTTTTCCTTCTGTCCCGTATCATGTGGCTCCTCCGACATGACACAGAGATTTTGCATTTTCCTTTAACAAGCATGCTTGGGTTTAGAGGAGAGAGCCACACGCCAACTCCATAGCCAGTTTAAATTTTTAGTTGAACAGGGACTACATAAAGACCATTTGCATTATGTGTCTGTAGAAAGACAGACAGAAACAGCAGAAAGCATTGATAGCTAACGTATTGGCAGAAATCTTATTTCATTAAGCAAAAAAATGATATTCTAATGAAATTGTAACACAATATTTTGGGGGAAAGATTCTTTTATTTTTATTTTATGTGTGTGAATATTTTGTCTGCATGTGTGTAAGAGTACCCTATGTGTGCAGGCCAGAAGAGGGTGTCCCCTAGGGCTGGAGTTAGAGCTGAGTGAGCTGCCATGTTGGTGCTGGGAATGTAACCCAGCAGCAAATGCTCTTAATTGCTGAGCCATTTCTCCAGCCTATATTAGAAACACTTTGTAAAGGGTAAAACAAAACTCACCATAGAATATATTCAATGATAAAGAACTGCTGTAAAAACACCAGAAATAAAAATAAATGGGCACTTGTGTGTGTTACGAATGCTTTGAACAAGAACCAACACATGGGATGGAATCAGAAAAACAACCTATTTTTCCCTTACATTGCTAATTTAAAAACGTTGGATGCATCTGATCCTTCCTTTGCTTTTCTGTGGAAACCTGAGTTTTCTTTTTACTCTTCATAATAAAAGTTCACTTTAAGGGTCTCTCTTGACTTAAAAGGGGAGGAGATATTTAATGACTTTTTAAAAATCATATAATAAATGCACAACTGCTCTTTTATGTCCTTGATGTTGGTAAAGGCACTAAGAGTATTCTAATATTTGGTTGTATTGCCTCAGAAGTTTACAAATTCAGTCTTTTCAGGTAGCTGAAACCTTTCCACACCGGGCTTTCAGCCAAAACATTGGCTGTAACATTCCACTGTGAGTGGATGAAGAGACTTACCCAGCAGGGTACCCCAGGATTGGCTGGAAAGCATTCTTATGAAACACTTTTGGTAAATGATTCAGAGCAGATGCCTGAACTCTCCAAAGTGGCGGGGACACACAAAACATCCCAGTTAGTAAAATGCCAAGTCAAAAGGATCGACTTCGGGAGGACGGCACCAGCTGGGTGAGTGGGCAGAGCAGCGGCAGATGAATGTTCAAGGACAAGACAGCAGATGCTCTTAGGACAAACAATCCCAAGTGAGGGAGACGGCCTCCGAAGGGCTTTGGAAGGTCCGTGCCTGCACAGGAAATAAGGCTCTTTATAGTTCTGTGTTTGGATACTGTACCCGAGTACTTGAGCGAAGGTACTGTACCTCCATCAAGCCATTCTTCCTCAGTGAAGGAGTTTGAAACCCAACATCAGGTTTGCATTTGAGAGCCGCAATTTACCTGCAGTCAGTGTTTCCATGAGTATTTGCAATTGAGTTAAGGTTTTAAGTTATATATATATTCTCCACATAGAACTACTTAGAAAGCCTTGTGAGTGTACTAATATTTTCTTTTTGTTCTATAAAAGCGTGTATGTACCATTCCCTATGTATTTCTCTCTCCCATGCACATGTACATACCATTGACAATGCAAATATGCCATCGTTTGAGATATAGTTAAAAGTCAGTAGAGGATCTCCTCTTGTTTTCCCATTGAGAAGGAGAGATTAGTGGGTTTGGGTGGCTGGCTGGTACACATTCCTCTAACAGGCAGAAATGCCCTTCAGGCACAGGTCAGGCAAGCAGCCTGCTTCTGCAGGAGCTGAGCCGCAGCCAGCCTTGTACAAACTCATTCCGTAAATATTTCTTCCTTCAGAAAGAGTGAGAAGATGGATGGTTCCAAAGATTTCCAGGAAGGTGGTGAAGCGTCTGCTGTGACTCGACTAGATCAGGAGGAACCACCTCTCTGTTCTCGACAATGGTTTAGTTCATTTACTTTGGACCATATATATTAGCCAAAACTTTGGAGTTTCTGTGTAAGATCACATATTTTTCTCATTTCCCCACTTTATTAAAATAGCATATTTATGTGACGGATGCGTGCCTTGCTGTGTTGCTTACAGTACTGTTTTTGAGTAGAGGGAATGTTTTGTTACAAAGATTTCATGACATCTCTATGGCTATAAATATTTACATGTCTTTTTAAATGTCATGGTCGATCGACCATATAGAAGCTCTCAGGCTCCATCTAACTTCTCTACCTCCTTGACAAGCATCCCTCACTCTCCGTGTTGCCTCTACTTAACGCTCCCCCTGGAGATGCTGTGTGTAGCCTAACCATGCCCCATGAAGCTTAACTATGAACTGATGCGAAGGGCTGATGGTGCCGCCCAACTAATAGAATACCTGGCTAGCCTGTGCCAAGCTCCGGGTTCCATCTCTAGCACCACATAAACAGGGTATATGTCTTTAACCCTAGCACTCTAGACAATAGAGGTAGAGGCAGGAGGATCAGGAGTTCAAGGTCATCCTCAGCCACATAGCAGTTCTAAGCTAGTCTGGAATACATTAGACTCTGCCTCAAAAACAAAAGCAAAAAGCAAGCAAACAAACAAAAAAGCCAGTATGAGCAATTTTCAAAGTGAGTAGGACTTGAAGACGGTTCGGGAACAAGGATTCTTTAACTTTTGACCAATGTCAGCAGCATTGGAACAACTCCACAGGCCTTTCCGCTGAGTGATTTGAAGATATAAGCCCCGATATATTCATTCGCAGGGTATTTGTGCTGCTTACCATCTCCCTTCATATCTGATACTAACATGCAACACTGCATTTCTCTTTGAAACAAAATGTTGCTTCTCTCTCTCGTATTTAATGAATAGCACTTAACTTTAGCAATGCCTCATTTTTCTTTATTACATTCTCATATCTAAATATGGAAGACATGAAAGCAGAATTTTTATGATTTTCTTTATAATTCATTTATTTATTGTATGTGCATTGGTGTTTTGCCTGCATGTATATCTGTGTGACTGTGCCAGATCACCTGGAACTGGAGTTACAGAACATGTGAGCCGCCATGTGGGCTGGGAATTGAACCTAGGTCCTCTCAAAGAGCAGTCAGTGCTCTTAACCACTGAGCCATCTCTCCAGCCCCTCACTGATATCTTTAATTAGATGACATGATGACGTGTGTGTGTGTGTGTGTGTGTGTGTGTGTGTGTGTGTGTGTGTGTACTCATAGGCCCAATAATTCTCTAATTAGTGTTTAAATTCTGTTTGGAACTCTGGAAACTTCTGCTACTTCAGTTTCCAAATTAAAAAACAAAAGGCAACATGAGTCTGTTAAGACATTTTCCATCAGGAGTGACCTGGAGGCGGGGAGTGTAAGGGGAGAGACTGGGCGGCGAGGAAGGAGAGGGACTGCAGTCGGATGCAATGTCTGAGAGAAGAACTTAAAAACAAATGGCGGTCCACCCTCTGCAAAGGTTTGCTTTGACAGCAGCTCTTTCGGATGGGCTACTGCTACGTTCCACCACCAATTAGTATCCAAGCTTAAAAAAGCAGACACACCTCTCATGTGCTCTCAATGTGGGTCAACCAGGCCCCAAAGCCTTGTGCTCTCATGAGTTTGGCTCCAGACACGGGAAGGTAGAGTTAAAAAGAAATCAACCCTGAAGGAGGGAATGAGGAAGTCACAGAGGAACCGCACCCAGCCTGGGCCAAGGGTGTGCACTGAAGATAAGTCAGTCCCACCTGCCTGTCCTGATGTGCCCACTGAACCCACAGGTAAGGAACCCCACTGGGCGATGGTGGCACGCGCCTTTAGCACTCCCGAGGAAGAGGACGGCAGACCTCTGAGTTCAAGGCCAGCATGACCTACAAAGTGAGTTCCAGGATGGCCAGGGCTACACAGAGAAAACTTGTCTCAAAAAACCAAAAACCAAAACAAGAAACCCCAACCCCGAGAGATATGGAAGACAATGTGCCCTTCTAGCCCTGCAAGACAGGTAGTATTATTATCTCCATATTTTTACAGATGAGAAAAAATGGATTTGAGGTCTTTTTTAGCACCAGTTAGGAAATTGGACAGCTGCCTGCCTGAGTGAGTCATGGTCCAGATGCTCTGTCCTGCAGCCACAACGGTCCAAGACAATTATCCAGTGTTTCTGGAACTCTTTGCTTTAACTGCGCCCAACATACACCCTGATTATTTGATAATTTATACTTCACAATAATTCTGCATCGTACCGATTAGCATGAAAATATTTATGTATTGAATATTTCTTTCCTGCGTTTGAATACTCTCTTTTCATGTTGGTGTTGAATTTCACTTCGGTCTTTGCTGCCAAACCAAGACACCATTGGCACGGATATTGGAAGTGGGCAATTCTCCCACCCAGCAGGACAGTCTTCCTGACACGAAATCACCACAGAGAAATTTGCTGTCACCTCGTCCCTTAGAACTAAAACCAGAATGGAGGAAATCTCCACCAGGGGGCAATGTATCACATGATCAGAAAAAGTAATAAATTGATAGCAAGCAGCCATGTTTTGATTATAAACATTTTTGGCTTGTTGATTTCTTTTTCTTTTTGGGGACAAGGTCTCTCTACATAACCCTGGCAGTCCTGGAACTCTAAGTAGAGACAAGGCTGGTCTTGAACTCACGGAGATCCACTTGCCTTGGCATCCCAAGTGCTGGGATCAAAGGCCTGTGCCACCACATCTGGTGGCCTGTTGGTTTTAAATTTGAACTAACCTGAAAAATCAGAAGATGTAGCAATTACTGGCTCTGCGTTTCTCCATAACAACGGGTGCAGTTCGGGACAGTTCTCAGCCTAATTTGACTGGCCAGGAACTCTTTGGTACCCCACCCTTTGTATAATGTACACTCGCGTCTTTATGCCCTGCCTCCTGCAGATTACCTGCCTGACCCCTGTGGGATTCCCATCTACAAATTCCTTGTATTTACAAAAAGGGCTATGACGTGAAATATAATTACAAGGAAGGTTTTATATGTATTGAACCTGTAGACATTTTCAAATGAAAAAATGTTAAGTTCTTGTTTAAAAGTATCATTTTACCATCAAAGAATACAATAATTTTAGACATTAACACACAGATGAAACTATTTTTAGATCGATCATGTTCTCACTAATGCTGAACTACTCTGAACTAGCCTGTTCTAGCTATGTCTTGTTTTCCTGCTGAAACAGAAATTTTCATATTCAGCTTGAATCTACTTTTCGAGGCATCTGGACACTTCCATTCCTCTATCCTATGTATTTTGCTGCCTCACACCAGTTTGGCATCCAGCCACGGCTGACGGTAAAAGCAAGAATTATGCAGCTCTCGGAGCTTGCTTAGATGTCGTTTCCCAGCTCAGCTGCTCCCTTCTCTTTTGGAGGGATAAGAGGGCCCAGTCTCACGTATCTGCTACTCACTCTTCTGTGAATTTACTTAGAATCCATCCAAATGAAGCAGAGCCAGCATCGCTCTCCAGGCCTTGGCAATGGGACTCTCCTTCTTGCCAGACTCCCAGACTGTCCTCACTACTCAGGGTCAGACGCATTTCTGACTCCATAGAGCAGTCACTGTTGCTCTGTAGAGCTGGTTTAGGGTGGAAGGCGGCTCCAGCTTGGGGCCAGCAAAGCTTGTTTTGAGTTATTATTCTGTTTGTTATCGAATGACTTGCTATTGCATGCTGAGAATCTGTTTCCTGAATTCTAAATGGAGGATAATTCTTTTACCCTTGCTGCTTTCCTGCAAATAATTGTATTACTGCACATAAAACAACACTGAGTGTAGAATGGTCTGGAAAACGCCTCAGAGGCAAACTGACCTGAGATGGTTACGCCTCTGCTCTCAGGGCTATAGGAATTCAGACACATGTGAATGTGTTCCTCAATCTCATCCTCACAGTGAAAGAATTTTAGGGCAAAGTTGGTCAGTTGCTGGAATTCTTTTAATTTCATAAAGGGCATGGACTGAAACACACTATACTGTAGAATCCCTTGTCTTATGGGCCCTTCCACCAATCAGCAGCTGAATAGGCAAACTGAACCTTAGACATGGCTCTGTACAGCTCTTTAGGGGCTACAGAGATTGTTCAGCCAGCAAAATGCTTGCCGAGAAAGCATGAGAAGCAGAGATGGATCCCCAGCTCCCACGTAAAAAGCCAAGCGTGACATTGTATACCTGTAACCCCAGTGCTGGAGAAGCAGACAGGAAGCTCTCACTGGCCAGCTCATCCAGCTGAATTGGTGAGTTCTTGGTTCAACGACAGACCCCATCTTGGAAAATAAGAAAGCAAGTAATAGAGAAAGGTGCACAAGATCAAACTCTGGCATCCATGTGCATACAGGCACACGTGCATGTGCACCTGCACACACACACACACACACACATGCATGTGCTCCTACACACACACACACACATGCATGTGCACCTACACACACATACACACACACATGCATGTGCACCCGCACACACATATACACATATGCATATGCACCTGCACACACACATACATACACATGTGCACCTGCACACACACACACACACACACACACACACACACACACACACACACACACACACACCAAAGCCATAGGCTCTGTGGAGTGGGGGATGATGACACTGGACGCCCTGCTTTATCACCTTCTACCTTATTCCCTCAATACAAGGTCTGCCATTAAACCTGGAGCTGGGCTGGCAGCTGGTAAGCCCTAGCAATCTGGTGTCCCTGCCTTCTACAGAGCTGGGGTTTCAGTCACGTGAGCAGCCATGCCCAACTTTTCTTCGTTAAATGGGTGCTAGGGATTTGAACTTGGGTCCTCATGCTTTGAAACCTGGTGGCTCATACAACTAATCCTGGTATCTCAGAGACGGAGGCAGGAGATTGCCTCAAATTGTAAGCCAGGCTGGGCTACACAGTGAGTTTCAGACTATCCCGGTCTAGTGTGTGAGCGTCTCGCTCCAAAACCAATGGAAACAAAAATCTTCCTACTAGCTCTACCATAGCCACACTTAGAACTATGGTGTCAGGAAATGAGGGAATGTTTCCATGTTATAAACGTGGGATAGTAAG